TATATATTGTGTGTGTGTGTGTGTATTTATATATATATATAAATAAATAAATAAATAAATACACACACACAAGGAAAAAGTTATATATATTCTTGTTTGAGACTCAAAAGAAATGAATTTCTTGTTTGAGAAATTCTAAATCAATCAATTTTAACAATCTGCAGTCGTACAGTATAAAAAAATGAAATGGTTAATGCTGATATGATGAGTTTGAGATTTATTCGAACATAACAACAATAGTAACGTTATTGTTTAATGTAGCTTTATAAGTTCCCCCAGTAAGTAAACAGAAACCGACTTTGGCAAGGGAAAACACACATATTTTATTAAGATTATCGCGCGAAAAGTGAAAATCTGTAATGTAAATGTTGTTGCTGGTTGATGTAGGATTGTGTGGTTTGTGACACACCTCTGTTAACGGAGCTCATTCAGAGGTTACGAGCGAGTGACACGCTAATCTTCAGAGAAGCAGAAGTCACGCATCAGATAAAACCTGACCTGTGATCTGACCACAGAAATGACTTGAGTAAATGGATTCAATCTACCTTTCAGTCGCAGAAAATCTTGAGTTCGCTAGCGCAGGAGGTTGAGGAGACGAACAGCCCAAATTCCTGAGATTCCGGAACTCTCACTAATGCCGACAGCAAAGCACAAGCGTGAAGTAAGAAACGTGAAAAAAGTGTCGTTGTTTCAAAATAAAAGTCCCGTCGCAGCCTTCAGTAGCCTGCGGCTCTCTAGGACCGAACTTGCCTACCCCTGGTTTAGGTATATGTAAGGTGGGAGGAGTTGGATCTGGATCTTGTGTTCTGCAGTGAGGGCCATCTCGTCGCAGTTCCGTATTGAAGATAATTATAAATGTTGCTTACAGACTTAAAATTATGCACAAAACTGTACTTATCAAAACATAAAACTAAAATAGGGTTATTAAATTTTCTGGGTTTCTACTTGATTCCTTTCTTTTTCAGAATTCATTACATGGAGATAAAAATAATATATGTAGTATTTTGTTTAATATTTTAAGATTTCAGCTCTAAATATTGCAACAGGGTCTGGCTGCAGACTTGCACTTGCACTGTCAGACTTGCGCTTCCGCAACTGACGTCACTTGCAGTCTTTATTTTTTATTTTGTTCTATTTATTTATTTATTTTTTTGTTTGAATCTCTCAACATTTTACAACAGTAGTCAGGTGGTGAAGACAAGAAAAAAAAAAGAAACTAAATTACAATGTCACTTGCAATCGCCACTTGCACTCTCCGCTACCTGCGACGTCATTTGCAATCGACACAAATGGTGCGTGTTGCCAATGGAGACAAGACGCTGTGGTGGTGATT